CTATTCTTTATTTTCATCCACTGCATTGCAGTGCATTGTGGTGTTTTTTATCGTACTGTATCCACTGCATTGTCAATTGGCAAATTGTATGGCATTGTGGTGTGTCGTATTGTATTGTACTTTTATTTTTCTCTCTCTCTCTCTATATATATAGTATAAAATTGTATTCGGTTGAAGGGGACTCTACTCTATTGCATACAATCGCATTGTGTGCATTATGATTGCTCTTTCTTGACCCCGCTGAATTTAGTTAAGATCAGTACTATGCTACCACCCCTAGCTCAAGCTATATGCAGCTATGTGATCGCGGGCCGACACAACAACGCCCCTCAGACTGTGCGGTGCCGCGGATGTTCAATGCGCCACGAGTAACACGAGTAATTAACATTCTCAAACCATGCGCAGCACCAACTCTGAGAGCAAGGAGCGCGGTTCTTCTATGGTCTACTCCATGTTGGCCAAGGCCAGCTTGCAAAAACAGGGAGGCGAAGAGGGAAAATCTTGCCCCGTTGCCAGTCTCTGGGCATGGTCAAGGAGGTGAAAAGAGAATCCTACGAAGAGCGACAGGCCTGCTTCGTTTTTTTGAGTTATTTTCTTTTTTATATATATATATCTGTCAACATCTACTTGGCCGGACACGCCAGCTAGTTTCCTCCACGCAAAGCGTTAATGCCCCGTGCGACAGGCATCCTAGCTGGATTTATAGATTCCATTGTAACACTGCTGCATATCAAGCATTTCAATGCATGAAATGATACTCCTTTGTCGACACATTTGAACACACACACACACTGCTTGATGAGGTGGGTACATGAAGCGGTGTCAAACAGCTTAAGAGTATTGCATACACAACCCACGACATTTAAAGGCATGACAATGACTTCGAGGGTTAAGATCAATACTAGGATTGGAGACACTTTCATGAATCGAAGAAATGCCAACGATGTGCTAAGAGTGGCTTCCGAACAAGCTGGTCGAGAAGTGAAACTGTTTTCAGACCTTCTGAACAAGCGAGTTGCCCTGTCTGGACTCATTCTTGGATCTCCAGGCGCGGATCCATCGCAACAAGTCATATATGTTACCCAATTGGCGGTCATCCTATGGGCAAAACACGGGTCGGGGCTGTCGGGGCTCCTGGACAACAATGGCGCCACTTTACCCATAGAAATGCTTGGACAAACTTTTCGGACAGACAAACAAACCGATATCGATAACATGGACCAACAGAACATGCAAGTATATCAAATGGCTCTCGAACGAGACTTTTTAGCTGTCGTAGTGCAGGTCCATGGACGCTTTAGCGACCACCTCCACAAAAATGGTGAGACGCCAATGTGCGTCCAACTATTATGTGTATAATACTTGTTTATATACACAGTATATGATACTTATTTATGCCAAAGCATGCACGTCGCATGAGATCATCAAGGCGTGCTTGAGCTCTCTAGAGAGTTGGTGTAAGTTGGTGTGGGTGAGTTGATGTGAGTCAGCACCTGAGTGAGTGAGTGAGTGAGCGAGGGAGTGAGTGAGTTGATGTGATTGGTGAGTTGGTGGCGGGAGTGGCTGGAGGAGAAGGATAAGGAGGAGGAGGAGGAGGAGGAGGAGGTCGGGAATACCCAAGAAAAGTAAAAGCTTCACACTACCTCACACTAGCATGTCGGGGAAAACAAACAAACTGGTCCCATTCTGATGAACTGGGGAACTCTTTCGATCGATGCATGTTCTCCTTCTAAGCTTCAGTGTGTTCATTGATCAGCTGAAACATGGCCAGACGGTTTGGGTCTTCGCGAACGGTGACATTCAGCCGCGACGTGCCACAGTCCTAGAGGACCCCACAAGAGGAGAAGAGGCTTCCTTTGTTTGCTTGGTCCATATAGCAAGCTTGCTCCATATGCGTGCCAGGACACGCCAGAAGAGTCGGACGATGTACTTCTGGAGCCTGAGACTTTGCAATCTCTCTTGACACCTGCAGGAAATCCGCTCAAGAAAAAGAACTCCTAGTAACAAGGGCATTACGGCATTACTACTAGTAGCTAGAAGCTACTAGTAAGCTCATTCTGGAAACCCTGTGAACTGTCTGTCGTGGTAGGTCTGGTAGGCTCCGAAGTCGTTTGGAGCTATACAAACGGTGCAAGCTAACGGGTTGCCAAGGTTCTGGGATGGCGATGATCCACCAGAGAGGGTAGAGCGCTGTTTGGTTCATGCCATGGGGCTAGCTCCTCAGCCATTTTGCAAAGGTTGTGAGGGTGGGCCAGTCGCTGTCTTCCTAGCTTGCTAGTTGTGGCAGAAGGTACAGTACTACCATTCACCTGATCCTCAAAGTTATATATATATATATATCTCTTTAATTGTTTTTAATATTCCTTTTCCCTCTACAACCATTAGCCACGTCATTCAGCATCCTCGCAGCTCCCCAAGGTCATAAAGGCCGTCCAACCATTTGGCGAATCAGCCAAGAGGCCAAGAGTCCTTTCCACGAGCATGCTGTGAATCTTTCAACAAATGGAGCTGGGATTTGTGAGGAGAATCTTTGCACCTTTTCCCAATTGGGTCCGCTGCTCTCTCCCAATGTCAAAGAGCACACCCGGCCCTGTGTATTCTCATATTTTTGTTTGTGCATGTAAGTGAGATTCTTCACATGCACCATAGGTGGAACTGCAGCGATAGTTATTATCTTTTTTTTTTTGCGGGCTTACAGTACATTGCCCTTTGTCAAGAATTTGGTCACAAGCTGAAAGATCCAGGAGAGCAATCTATGCATTTGGGCATGAATCTTTCAATAGTTTTCTCTATGCTGCAATCCTCTTCGCAGATTTAGGAGACCTGAACACTACAACTGTGCTTGCATATTTTCCTAGGAGTGATCCATGCCCGAGTGGTGGCCAATGCCCCAATATTGAGACTGATACTATGCATATTATTTTATGCATCTTTCTTTTCGCGGCCAAAGATGCCGCAGAAATCTGTGCTCGAAAAGAGACTCACAGCGATCCTGCACCCCAGATTGAAGTGGATGCGCATTTGTTTGGTACCACTTGAAGTGTTTCTGGATTGGAGGCTCTACAGCCTTGTTTCTGAATGGTCTCAACAAAGCTCAAGTAGGTGGTTCGTATGGTTGTCTTACAAATCTCTGGGGAGAATACTGTTTTCTTTCTGTGTCCTGTGAGCATGGAGCCATATAGAATCAGCTCTGAAGAAGAAGCCCAGTTAGACAAGGCAGACGTCCAATTTTGCTGCCTCCAAGCTGGAACAGGTATGGCCTAACATTACTCGATGGTGGATAGCATTGCCCAGCAATGGAGAGGAGCTCGCTAGCGTTAGAGGTTCCGCCAGCGATGTAGTTTTCGTTTTCGTGTTGCCTCATTCTGAAAACCTTGAGTTACTAGGAGCAAGAAGCTACTAGGAACAAAGGGCATCGCTACTAGGAGCAAGGACGCTACTACGGGCTCCTGGCATCGCTACTAGGAGCATAGGAACATCTAGGAACCAAATCATCAGTGGGAGCGCTTCTTCAAGGAAGCGGTGGGGGAGCTTCCTTGAAGAAGTGCGAGCTATCCTGCGTCCTAGGTAGTAGCTACCTCTGCTACCAGCTACCTACCTACCTACCTACCTCTAGCTACTACCTCTAGCGGCTTACCCCCCCGGGGTTAAAAAATAGGAAGCATGATTCTGAAAGGAGCACTAGATGTATTATATACTTGCTCCCAATCGATCGTCAAGCAGTTTAATGCGGAAGCAGGACTAAGCGTACTCTGTATTTCGCTGCAAGTAGGCGGTGAAGGTCTCAACTTTGCTGCCAGCAAGTGTTGCCAATGCTAATGGACTCTAGGTGGAACTGGAAGTGTAAACACCCACAATCGATCTTTGGCACAAGACTGCTAAACCTCAACTTGCCAGGTTTTGATGGCCCGGCGTCCAGAAAGTGAGGCAAGGGTTTGCAAGCATCGTGCAGAGAGCGAAGACCACTGGAAAATGAGCAAAGCCACTTGTCGACCGATGTGGCCACGGGTCAATATACGCCCCAAAAGCATAGTCAAAGGAATTTGAGAAAGTTGAAAGGGAAAGCTATCCCGCTGGTGCGCACATGGGAAAGCACAGTTGAGGGACGGGGACACATCGTAACCTGTTTGCGGTTGATGTGAGCCCTACCATTGAGCCCCCACCTCATCCATACACATTCTGGCAAATTTGTATGAATTTGCAGCTGATGGCGAGGCTTTGCAGCCTGGCACTTTGCCATCCGACCCTTACAACCACGGACACTTCAAGAAATGGGATTTCCAGGCGGAAACTGAGCAACCCAAAGAAGCTAGACATTCATCAAGATGTGGGCAGCTTTGGGCAGCTTGGTGCTCATGGGGTTGCCAAGCATTCTTGATGTTTGATTGACAAGGCTCCTTTTCACGAAAGGGAGCTCTGAAGGAGGTTTGCTGAAGTTCTCGTTTGCACGGGGACGTTGGGGGGAGGCTTAGAATTGATGGTTGCAAATTGCAATTGGTCGAATTGATGTATCATTACAAAAGGCCTCCTCCCACCATGATAGAATCAACTGGTATCCTGCCTCTACTCCTTTACGAGGGACACGTGCATCACAAGCATCATCTGAGTGATTGGAGCCAGCTTAACGAAGCAAAGGCTGTTCCAGACGGGAGTTTGAGTATTTCTACGCAAGTCTTATAGGGTAACACTAGCGCGGAAGCATCAGAGAGTACACCATCGCCTGCATTAGTGGTCATTCTCTTACTGACGGTGGTGGAATGAGCAATGTGTTCACTCGCATTCACTTTCGCTTCTCAAGTGTGGCTCTAGGTACATCTAAAGCAGAGCCATGCCCACCAGCATGGTGAAGCGGTGTTGCGCTTTCAATGCAGCTGTGCGGAACCCGCGCAAACTCAAGAGCTGGACCCCCCGGTGCTGCTGCTATTTTATCCCTTCAACCTTGCTACCTTTCGTTTATATATCCTTTTGTAACTCATGTTTTACTTGAGCAACTATCAATAAGGTGCTGAAACCCCTGTGCGGGCTTGTGCCAGAGTGTCTCACAAGATTCTCTTTACAAGAGTGTGTTTGTAGGAGTGCCTCTACAAGAGAGTCCCTGCAGAATGTTTTTGCATGAGGTTCTTTTACAAGGCGTCGTTGAACAATATCATACAGAAAGTCTTTACAAGAGTACCTCTACAAGAGTGTCTCTCCAAGAATGCACCGCCTGAACGGCCGACCACAGAAAAGATGGCGCTTTCGTGTGGCCGTTTGTTTTTTACAATGGGGTTCGTTGGCTCCTCACTCTGAGCACACCACCGCAGAACGTGGGCTGGAGGTCAAATTGCATATTCCTGAGCGCTATGGCACCAAGCACGCTCTCATATGAACTTATTTTCCACTGGCGGCAGGAGAATGTGGACATTCGTGCCGGAAGCAAATGGTGTTTGTTGTCCTGTATGGTGCTTATTGTGTTGGATCTGCGGCGGCATCTGTGTGAATCGGATCGCCCCTGTCCAAGGTCTCGGGGCGAACCCTTTACATCCTTATCTGCAATCATGGCAGTTGTGATGGACGTTCACATAATGCAGGTCAAGTGTTGCAGCAGACACTTAACCCCCTGGCATGACACCAGGTCAAAGTTGTCTCCTTGAAATGTGAGCGCCTCCCCTATGAACCCTCGTTCATTGGCAAACTATGTTCCAGGTTTGCTCAGCGCCGAGAAGCACCTGACCCTAGCAAATTGCTTGATACTCCAGAGTATGCTCAAGCAAGGGCCTACAGGTTTGACTACACTCGCAAAGGAGTTGGGCTCAACAGCCTAGTGATCACAGATCTGGATAGATCTGGATCAGCAGTGTGCTATGTGTATTTAGTTGATTTACCTGAAGATACCGTCAGTAGAACTGCATGTTCTTTCCAAGCTTGAAGGCTATGCGCAGCCAACCTCTTTTTGTCACCGTTCATGTTAGACAGTCCAAACAACATAGTAAACATGTCGGGCCTTGAACAATTAATGTTTCTTGGTCTCCAACATAAATCTGATGAGCCCTGTCTGTCATTGCGCACACAGTTTTGCAAAAAGTATTAATCTTTTCCGCCAACGCAAATACCACATACATGTAGCCTGAAATTGTAATCTAGTTTTTTTCCAACCAACATACTCTTCATACAGTGACCCCACCACAAATCATATCCAGCACAGCCCCCTCAGAACTCCACAATTCTGAGCAAGTTTGGAACGTAACAATCAAGTGAGCGAGTGTTCATACGCCTCCCCCAAACTTAGCAAAGTCAAAAAAGCAAGTTTCATGACATCTTTCGGGAGGGGGTTGTGGCCGTGATTTTAGGTTGATGTCAGCGATTGCACAGTTGCATTATACAAATCCTTCTGCACAAAAGTGAGCCGGTGAGTTTCTTTGAAGTTCAGGTTGCAAAGCTGAAACGATTACAGCTATATATATATTCCTTATATAGTTACTATGTTCGACGAAATAAGCTAGATCAGTCTATTGGGAGGAGGCCTTGCGCTGCCTTTCCAGCTCCATGAGTTTCTCTATGATCTTCCCTTTTGTTGTAGCCACTGTCATGTCAGGGCTGTTGGAGCTGGCGTGCGCTACGTGGTCCAATTCTTCTCTTGGCTTGGGTTCATCGATCAGCTTCCACTGATTTTCGATGAAAGCTGAGATGGTGGCCATATATATATATATATATATACTGCTCCCCCTCACACTCGATGATCACATTGCCGCCTTCAAACTTTTGAAGTTGGGCCTGCAACTTGTCTTTCTTCCTGGCAATCCACTTACCTGGCAAGAATCCTGCCTCCCTGAGAAGGACAGAAGGGTCTTTCAGTTGCCCTGAGGCATCAAACTCCCTCAGCTTGGCTGCCACAGCTGTTGTCGTCAGGGATGAACTCTTTGGAGTGATCTTCAAGCCATCCCACTCGTTGGAAACGGTGACCCCAATGGTTTCTTGGACAGCTGGGCAAAAAGCCAAAGCCGCGTGCTCCATGCTGTCACACAGCTCGATGCCCTGGTGCTTCTTGTCCAATGCCAACAGCACAAGCTGGGACTCGAAGAGCGCCACATGTTGGGCCACTTGTGCATGTTTCTCATGTGGAACATGCTTGTCCATCAGCCCATCCAACTTGGTCGGCTTTGGCTTGCCGATGTGTTGGAGTTGCTTTTGGAACAGGCGTCCGATGCGTCTCACATCGGACGGTCCGATCAGGCGTGCAATTGGGCACGAGTACGCCAGAGCAAGGAGAGCGTGAACCTCACAAAGGGGTCTGCATCCTTCGGTCGAGGCTCCTGGCCCAACAACTCATAGAACTCAATGCCAAGGCTTCGATCTGTCCCTGAATTGGATGTTTTCACCAAGGCGCTTGTGCGGTCAATCAACTTTTGACCTCCGCCGAACAGCCTCAAAAAATGAGAACATGGCCGGCGTGGCTTTCGAGCATCGAGGTCTGCTCTTAACCAGCTTTGGCTTCAACTCTTCCCACTCGATGGCTGCCCCCGTTGACTCTGCAATGGCTTGCCTGTTGGCGATTAGAAGTAGGATTTGCACCTCGTGCTCTTCGCGAGCTAGGTGATTCCCTCTATTTAACAGTGCGAGTACTGCGGCAGACAAGACTTTCCACCGCAACCCTGCACGGCTGGCTTCAGCGTATGCAGCGTCCTTTTGATGAACTTTTGGAAGTTCACCTTGCCCCACCGATTCCACTGAGCATGGAGTGCCCTGCCCGATCATGCGCAGCGTTGTGTTCAAATGACTTCCGGACAGGCTCAAAAACTTGAGGTGCTGTGGGTGGATCTCCGGCAGTTTCCCACCACTCTCCACTGACAATGCTCGGTTGAAATCAATGGCTGATGAATCACATTCAGCTGTCTCCACACAAATGCAATTGGTCATCGAGGCATCGAAGCCCACATCCACTATGTTTCCCATCAATGAGTGACAGTCATGCCAAGCCACTCCATGGCCATCACGGTTTTGAGGATGGATCCCGATGAACTGTGGCTCTATGACCATGTGCCGCAAGTATTGGCGCTCCTGCAAGGCATGCAGCACCTTGTTCAGCGAAGACACCAGGGGTGCGCCAGGTGCCTGAGCAGCCTTCACCAAAGGGTCTAGCTCAGAGACATCATGTGCACCCATGCTAGCAACTTCAGGCACTGCGTTGGACGCCCTGCAGCACGCTACAGCATACGAGCGTTGAACGCCCTGCAGGCCAAATTGAACCAAGAGTTGAGATGGAAGTTCACTGCAAAAGAACATGTCTGCTAAACTGCACAAACCTCTGAGTCGATCAACATTGAAAAACAATGACTGCGCAAGAAGAATGACTGCAAAGTTTAGTCACTTACATAGTCTTTCAAAAAGTGTCTGCATAGTTTGTCGAAGTCTGCAGCTCACCCCAAAATCACTTAGAAACGAATCCTTCAACAAGAATTAACAGTCTGAGTTTTCGATCTACTTAGGATTCCCCAGGCCGATCCCGCGCACGCCTCGCGAGAGGACACCGCCGGAGGCCCGGCGCGAGTACGGTTTCAACATCAAAAGGTTTTGTTTCTGAACTCTGTTTACAAAAAAACTATGTCATTTTAGTCTGGACTCTTCTGGCGCCCCCATTATTTAAGTGTAAAAATGCATCTGCTTTATGAAGTGACACGCAATGGCGCCAGCATAAACTCGAAAATGTTTGTTTGTTTGTTTAAAAAAGCGTTTGCCATGCAACAAGACACATATTTGTCAGACTCGGCCACGACAAGTGCAATATGCTCTGTAAAGAACTGAAGCGTCGCCGCAAACCCACACTTAGCAGACTTGGCCAACAAAGCTAAGTAGGCTATCCATACATAGCTAAGTTTGCTATGTACACTCCGACCTACATAGCCTACTTATCTAAGTAGGCTATGTGGATCCTAAGTGGAACTTATGTAGGCCTTATGTAGGCCATCGAAATGGCCTACATACATTTCACACGCATGTGAACTGTATGTACATAGCATGAGAGCTAAGTTGTTAACAACAACTTAGCAAACTTGCACGACATACTAACTCTGCTAACCGATGTTAGCACACATGCTATCTTGACATAGCGCACTTCCTATGTAGAGCGCATGTAGTGCAACTGTGCTATCTAGATGCAAGCAGGGCCGGTCATCCAAGTAGGCCTCTAGAACTAGAGATCGTTTTTTTTCCAATTGAAGTTTGAAGTCACATGTTTTGCATTTGCAAGTGTTACCTATGTGCTCTTGTTCCTGACAGTTCATCTCTGTGCGTGATCTGGTGTGGTT